TCTCTTCTTTAATTCATGATCATTACCTTTTTCCTGAACATTACTGGTAAGCTTGTGAGCATGAAAATGGTCAATATTAAGAACCATTGGATAACCATCATTTCTTTGAATGCTATTGGTAACACTCAGTTGCATTTGTTTTCCTCATTTGAGGCAGTTTCTGTGATGGAAGTCACAACTTTTTTTCTTTTAAAATTTAGATGCATTAGGATAGAAATCCATCATATGTGTTAATAGTTATTTAAAATAGGTTTATATAAGAGAAATTATAAAAGAGATTTCTTACAGGACTTATTGTAAGGGGCTTTATTGAAAGGATTAAGATAAGTTAATATTTTAAAATAAATTATGAAGTTACATTTTCTTTCCAAAGTCAAAATTTAGATTTCCTTTGTCTTGTTAAATTGTGTTCAGATATATCTCAAATAACCAATTACTATATAAAGTGACAACTATTTGTTTCATTTATTATTTCCAAATATGAAGTATTGAGTATGAAATTTCTTCTTATTTTCCTTTATTGGACAATTTAATACTGTGCTTTAAAGCTGTATCTCTACATTATTTTGTTTACTTTGAACTTTACACCTGTTTTCAAGACCTATGGGTATTTTATATACTTCAATGCATTGCCTCTGAAGACTGCATAGTATGCCAAAATATCTTTCCCTTGTATATATGCTTTTTAACAGTTTTGAGATATAATTCATAGACTAGAAAATTTACCATTTAAATGCTTACATTCCATTGTTTTTTGGCATTTTTTTCACAGGATTTTGTGACCTTCATCACAATCTAATTTTGGTATATTTGTTCCATTGCATTTTACTTGATTTTCTGAGTGATAGATTGTTCTAATTCTTCAGTATAACAAAATCTCTTTTTATCTGTTTTGTGAGTTTCTCTGAGTGTGCATGAATAAAGGCTAAGAAGAAAGATGTTTTAGGTGGTATATTTTCTGTAGAAAGATATAATGTCTTGGAATGTGAGGAAACATTTTAGTAGGTCATTCTGTTGTTACTTTGGGAGAGGTGTTGTCTTCTGCTTCTTTGATCTGTGCTTCTGTTTGAATAATTTGATTATTCAACATAGGAATATTGTGGCTGAAGATTCAACTTTGAAATTAGTTTAAACTCTGTTATAAATTGCTTGACAGACTATTATAGGGTCACTCATACTAAGAATAAATGGGTATAACTGGGAGGGACATGTATTATTAAGACTTTATATGCTTTTGTTTTCTATTTGTCACAAGAAGATAACATTAAAATACATTAAAAAATTGAAAAAGACGAATGTTAAGGAAAATTGTTAAAATTAAGAAAACATAAATAAAAAAATGTGAAGAGGCAGAATTTTATAAAGGGATATAAATAAGAGGGCAAAGCAAAGCAGTATAATAGCAAGAAAGGAAAAATTCAAAATGAATTTTAAAAGCTTATTAAGCACTTAGCATGGTATATTTGAATGTTTGTCCCCTCTAAAACTCATGTTGAAATTTAAATACTACTATAATGGTATGAAGAGGTGGAAGAGGTTTAGATCTTGAGGGTCCACGTTAGGAGTGAACTAACGAATGGGTTATTTATCATGGGAATGGGTTTACTTCTTCTTGTTCTCTCTCTCTTTGCTCTTCTGCTATGTGATGCCTTCTGCCATGTATAATGCAGCAAGAATGTCTTTGCCCAATGACAGTAACTTGATATTGGACTTCCCAGTTGCCAGAACTGTGAGTCAATAATTTTTTGTTCATTATAAATTACCAGTATGGGGTATTCTGTTATAAAAGCACAAAATGGACTCAGGTGATGTGGTACCTCATTAATCCTGGGTAAGAATGGGAATCCTGTTTTCTAAGTAGTCTCTACTGATACCCTCAGGGTTGAAGGGAAGCAGAGGTCTTTTTACATATTGGTAAGTGGCACAAGGAAATGTAGGTAATGGATGTGTTAATTATCTTGAGTATGATGATCTGTTTATAGTTGTATACATGGGTAAAAACTTATCAGATGTACTCCTAAATGTGTGGTGTTTATTGTGTCAGTTTTACCTCAAAAAAATGTTAAAAGTCATTTTTATAGGGCTGGGTTTGTGGTTCAGTGGTAGAGCACTTGCCCAGCACATGTGAGGCACTGGGTTTAAAATGCTGTATAAAAATAAATGGACAAAATAAAGGCTTTGTGTTCATCTACAACTAAAAAATAAAAAATAAAAAAATCATTTTTATAGCATCAAAAACTCCTCAAACATCCTAAAGTTTTCTATGCTCTATCAGTAAGTTAAAATACAGTTAGATTTTGCTAATTAAATTTTGAAATAAATTTTAAATACCAATTCTTTTCTATGTCCACTGCTACTATACTTCATGTCAAATGGATTTAAAATTCTCTTTGTTAATGAGATAGAGAAGCAAACCATTTATGAACAGATTTTATTGACTGATAAGTTATTTTTTTTCCTTACTGGAGTGAAATATAGAGTTACTTCCTTTGAGTCCTTCTTTCTATACTGGTTGACTTTTTATTTATTCATTTTTTACAGTTCACTCTAGATTTTGTGTGGAAAATGACCACCCTAGGTTTCCATTTCATATAGTAGGTATGTGGCTTTGTAGAAAGACCGTCTAACTCCAGATTTCTAGCTGAGTGAATCTGGTCTTAATATTTCTGGAGAAATCATTTATGATTTGGGTGGCAGAAACCCACTGTAGAAGTCTTGCTCAGTGGCAGGGTAGAAGTTCCTCATGCAGAAGAGAGTCCTTTGTGTTATTGTTCTAGATGGTATACCATAACGGTTCAGGTAGTTTCAGCTCAGATTACAAAAACACAGTAGAATGAACATGGGCTGTGGAGTCAGATCAATTTAAATTTGGGTCTTTCCATAGCATTTATGAACTTTGTGACTATAGTCACAAACCTAAGTTTCCTCATCTGTTTTATATATATATATAATTTATTCTGTACTGTGATAATGAATCATTTCACTAAGAAAGAAAAGATGAATAATTTAAAGAAATGTTTTAATACAAAATTGTATTTTTGTCTGCTTTTAAAGTAATATGTTCATAATATAAAATTAATAATTAAATATAAATAAAAATGACATACATTTTAAAATTATAGATATTGTACCAAAGGGGAAATAATATTTGGGTCATTAGCGTTGCTACCATCGTATTCATAGCATGTGATTGGCTTTCCAAAATGGCTTCTTGGAAGCTGATATGAAAGTAAGTTCTAGGATTTGAACCTGCCTTAGATACCTGTTACTTGAACATAGGTGTTCATTCACATTTCTACTTCTTCATTCTTTTACTAAATCTAGACTAAATAAGCCATTGTTAATAAACTTAAACATATAGTTCCCTAAATGTGGGCTTAGAAAAAAATGTAAAAATGTATAGACCAACACTGAGAAGTAAGACTCTTTAGCAAGGAAGGCTGAAGAAATGCTTAGTTTATTTAGCTCTCTCTAATTAATCCATGTACTATTTTCTTGGTATTTTTTTTTGGATCATAGATTTAAAGAGAAAAATTTTAAGTTTTTAAATATTTACCATATGTTTTTCTGTATTTTTGTTTTCTTCTCTAAATTCTTAAGAGTTTTGAATTTTGTTTGTAATTTCCTGCAGTAATAACGTGAATGCTTGGTATGCATCAAATAATGCCTGCATGGTAGTACAGCTCATGTTTATTTATTACTTTGTAACATGTTTTTCCTATACATTTCCCATGTCAAAACCATCCTGTTAAATAGACATGACTGGCAAACAGGTTATTTTCCCATTATTGGAGTGAATAACAGAATGACTTCCTATGGGTTCTTCCTTATTATCACATGTATAGATGAAGAAAACTGACATTGGAACATATATGACTTCTCTGAAAACATACTGATAATATATAAGGTAGTATTGGAAACTCAGGCTTTGATGCTGGGTTTAGTCTTTTTTCTAGGCCACTATATTCTATTTAAATACTGAATAATAACCTTTTAGAACTTAAGACTTTTTAATTGGATGATATCAAGAAACAAACTTCAAATATGGCAACAGTTGCTACATAGAATTTTATTATTTCATTTATGGTCTTTTAATTAAGGTTGAGTCTGAGGATCTGAATTGTAAAAAATTAGCACCACTCTAACAGCTTCAGGCAATAGCAGTATACCTCCATGTTAAATAATTTCATGTCAGATCTAGAAGTTAAGCATTACTTATACTTGTAGGAATTAAATTATTTAAGAGATTTGTATGTTTAAAGCCAAAGTAACAATAGCTTATTTAACTTATACTCATTTAACAAGCTATTTAAGTCCTAAAACTATCTTTTATATTTGCTATATTTTGTAACTCTTGTTACTGTATTTCAAAGGGGTTTTATGAGATCTGTTCTTTCTTCTTTGATATCCATAGCTATGATTTAATATAACTTTTAAAAAACAGAAGCAAATACTGATTTTTGTGTGTGTAATAGTTATTATGCTTATTGCTAGGATGAGACATACTTAATTGCTTAAATGTAAGGTAAAATATCTTTATAACTTGTATGTAAAATTATTTCAATACTAAAGTTACCATTCAGAAAAATTTAGAGGCAAGTAGTAAAAATATTTACTTAAGTGCTTAAGAACCTTAATTTTTAAACAATGTGATATATTTTAAAAATTTTGGAGAAAAGTGTCTAGGGCTGATTCATAGCCTGATTTAATTTTTCATCATTTGTTAAATGATGTGACTGACTGACTGAATGGTGTGTGATAATAGGTCTTTTATTCCCCTCCACTTCCAGTACTATCTTGTACCATTTAGTGGTACCTCTTAGCAGACTTTTTCATGAAGATAACATGAGTTTAAACTAACAATTCATTATACCATTTATCAGGAATGGTTTACTGTCTGGGGAGTTGTTTGGATGGAATCTATAATGTGTAGATTTTGGAATTTTTTACATTTGGGCACCAGTTATACTGTAATTGGGTTGAAAAAGTGAGCTGTACAATGAAGAAATTTAAGAGGTATAAATGCTTTTAATGTGTAGAAGAATAATAGCTCATTTAGAATAGTTTTGTAAGATGTACCTTTTACATCTGCGATAGTGATTAACAAAGTAGAAGATGAAAAGTCCTGGTCCAGTTTATAAATGCTATTTGATGAAATTCACTTTGTAATTTCCATTTTTGCTTAAAAGTTGTAGGAGGCAGACAGAAATTACTGTGCTTGAAACTTGATTATGTATTTGTATGCAACTATGTATTTAAAAAAAAGAGTGAAAAATAAGAGTGAAAAGGAAAGAAAAACATGTTTATACACAAATGTACTATCACAACAGGGGCCTGAATCTTTCAGATCTGGTATGTATTATTTTACTTCTGTAGTTATTTTTGATATTAGATGATTAATGGAAATAATAGTTTAATAAAGACATTCAAAGGTTTAACCTTTTTTTAATTAAAAGCAAAAGTCCTTGTGACAGAATAGGTTTATTATACTAGCTAATATTAAATCGACTTTCTATACCTGAAAGTGTAGCAGTAACCCGGTACAGGTCAAATAAGAAACATATAAATGGTTGGAAGGTAAATTCTTATGGAATCTGGAGACCTAAATTCTGTTATCAGTTTATATACTGGTTAGGGTTCATTTAATTCAACTCCTTTGCCCTGTTTTCTAGCCTGGGTACTTATATATTTTTGGTATAACTTTAATAGTTGATTTGTTCTAATGGAAAATCTTAACTTGTATGATGGTCTTGGTCAAACCATTTATTTATTTTTTTCTTTTCTTTTTCTTTTTTGCTATGGAGGATTAAACCCAGGGGTGCTTAACCACCGAACCATATTCTCAGCCTCCTTTTTTTAAAAAAAAAATATTAAGAATTTGAGAATGGGTCTTGCTAAATTGCTTAGAGTCTTGCTAAGTTACTGAGGCTGGCTTGAACTTGCAATCCTTCTGCCTCAGCCTCCTGAGCCATTGGGATTACATGCATGTACCACCATGCCTGGCTCAAACTACTTACTTTTAAGTGTCCTTTTTCTTGGCTATGAGAAAGGTATAATATTAGTACCTACTTCATAGAGTAAGAATTTGGAAATTAAATAATATATAAGATTTACTATCACATAAGAGGATCTCAATCATTGTTTGCTTTTATTGTTTTGTCCTTGTGACTATGATTATGATCATGTCTGTATAGTCTTCACAGCATGGAAAAAATTTATCTGTTTTCAGGAAAGGTGTATCTTGAGAAAACTTACATACTATGAAGACATAAAGCTTCCTTAGTTTAGAAATAAATTTTGGTACATTAATCTGGTTTGATAGCATCTGGATTGAAAATTCAACTAAATTTAGGTATCTTAAAAGTATCTATTTTAACTTTCCAACTCTTTTGTCTTTCTGCCCCCATAGGTCCATAAAGTATTGGTTAGATAAAGAACAGCTGGTATTCTGTTTTTGTATGATTTTAGTAATTTTGAGTTAAAAATGGTTATATGGTCATTGCTGATATTGTATAGCAAATTATATTTATTTGTCTTTGCTCTAGGGAGTTAAAAACATTGTATAGATGTAACTAAACACTTTAACATTTAGACATCATTTTAATTATTTTCTGAGGAGAAACATTCAGGATTGAGGAGTTAACAGTTTTTTCATGTCTATAGGATTTGGAAATTGGTAATAAAATATTTTTAGTGCCTTGGCAGATTCTTTTACTTAGGCTATGGATA